TTTCTCAATGTTTGATGAATTGATAACTAAACTAGGGTATCTCATTATCAACGAACGTTCAGATTATACTTCAAGTTTCACGGGAAAAACAGAGATGTACTCTAAAGTCAATAAAACCTTTCCTGCAAAGATTGGGTAATTCTAATGGGCTAATCTATGTGTGTTATAACATAGGAGGACTATAAAGCTGCAGCTTTTGAAGAGGAGGATGCATATTATGTTGAAGAATTTGGTGACGATGATCGTGATGGTATTTTTATCTAATTAGTAGTAATACGGATTCTATATCCTCCATAGCCTTGAGGCAATCTAAATGAATGTTTTCTTGGTTTGTTTAAGGTGATGGAGAAGGAAAAAAGAGAGATTTTACTAAATTGGAACTTAAAGCAGATCATGTCAATCGACCATTATGGGCATGTGCAGATGGCCGGATCTTTCTTGAAACCTTCTCTCCATTGTATAAACAAGCTTATGATTTTCTAATTGCAATTGCAGAGCCTGTCTGTAGGTAATATACTTCTGCATCTCAACTAATAGTTCATAATGTTTTGTGCATAAAATCTGAGACCTTTCATGTTTGGGGTGTTTGTGCTTATAGGCCAGAGTCGATGCATGAGTACAACTTGACTCCCCACTCACTCTATGCAGCTGTCTCAGTGGGTCTAGAAACTGAAACCATCATATCTGTTTTGAACAAGCTTTCAAAGACCAAGCTTCCTAAAGAGATGATCGATTTTATTCATGCTTCAACATCCAATTATGGAAAAGTAAAGCTTGTGCTGAAAAAAAATCGTTACCTGGTTGAATCTCCTTTCCCAGAGGCAAGGCTTCTCATCTTTTTCTTAATGTTGAAACAACAGGTTGTGGATATTTAATTAGCTAGCTATTTGATTGGTGTTTGCAGGTATTGAAGAGATTGTTAAGTGATGAAGTCATATCTCGAGCGAGGATTTCAAACGAGGTTATAGATTTTCTTTGTAGCTATTGTTATTCCTCTTTTTATGGTGTTTTATATGAGGGATTGATCTTGATTCTGTATATTCTCACATTCAGGGAGACGATGGCTTTGCTGTTAGTAGATCAGTAGGTGAAATTGATGGTAGACATGAGGAACTGCTAACAGAAGCACAGTTGGCAGCTGCAGCTGAAGAAAAAGAAGCTCATTCATTTGAAATTGACCCCTCTCAGGTATATGATACCTAGTCTCAGTTTCTGATGAAGTTCATCTTATTTTATATCACTTAAAATGATCCAAGAGTGGTTTTTAGAATTACTGCATCATTATTTTAACAAAATTACTTGACAGGTTGAAAATGTAAAGCAGAGGTGCTTGCCAAATGCTTTAAACTATCCCATGTTGGAGGAGTATGATTTTCGCAATGATACTGTGAGTTATCTCTCATACTTCTATCACATATTTCTTGGTTGATTTAGCAATGAGATTTGTAGAGGCTGTTTCTTCTTTTTCACATTAAGTCATGTATGGGCAATGATCTCAGTCTGGATAAACCGTCTGAATGAGGCTAAATGATCATTTTGCCCTTACATCCCAAAAAAACAATATTCACAATCTACTTCATTTTTACAATAATGGGTTAGTCTCTTAATACATTAAGCCAACAAGAAACAGTCATGTATAGCTGTTCAGATTAAGAGCTTAACCCATAAAGCTCATTAAATCAAAAGGAAACAACCCCATAGTCTTTTCTACAATTGATAATTACTCATAAGCAAATTGCAGATAAATCCAGATCTTGAGATGGAATTAAAGCCTCAAGCACAACCACGACCTTATCAAGAGAAGAGTCTCAGTAAGATGTTTGGAAATGGTAAGACACCTCACAACCCCTTAAAATCACTGATTGTAAAAACTTGTTAACATTTGTTGAGTGAGAGTTTTTTTTAATCTCCTGATGTTGATGTTGCAGGAAGAGCAAGGTCTGGGATCATTGTGTTACCTTGTGGTGCTGGAAAGTCTTTAGTTGGTGTTTCTGCAGCCTGCAGGATTAAGAAGAGTTGCCTTTGTTTAGCAACAAATGCTGTTTCTGTTGACCAATGGGCTTTTCAATTCAAGCTGTGGTCAAACATTCGTGATGATCATATATGTAGGTTTACATCTGATAGTAAAGAAAGGTTTCGTGGAAATGCTGGAGTTGTTGTCACCACATATAACATGGTTGCTTTTGGTGGTAAAAGATCCGAAGAGTCTGAAAAAATCATTGAAGAAATAAGAAATAGAGAATGGGGTTTGCTACTCATGGACGAGGTACATAGTACATACACATACACTTTTGAATAAACAAAGACTAAATGACCATTTTACCCTTATGTAAATTTCAGGTGCACGTGGTGCCTGCACATATGTTTCGTAAAGTCATTAGCATCACTAAATCTCACTGCAAGCTTGGGCTTACTGGTATAATGCTTCTGAAATACTAAGGATTTAATGTTCTTTTGTTCTGAGGTGGGAGTTTTTTTATTGTTTTTTAGCTACACTTGTTAGAGAGGATGAAAGGATTACGGATTTGAATTTTCTTATTGGTCCGAAACTATACGAGGCAAATTGGTTGGATTTGGTTAAAGGAGGATTCATTGCAAACGTGCAATGTGCTGAAGTGTGGTGTCCAATGACAAAAGAGTTTTTTGCTGAATATCTGAAGAAGGAAAATTCCAAGAAGAAACAGGTATGTATGTATGAATGATGTTTATTAGAATAAATAATAATAATAAGAATAGTAGTTGAGAATTGTGTATGATATGGTTTGATTTGCACTTTGCAGGCATTATATGTGATGAACCCTAACAAGTTTAGGGCTTGTGAGTTTCTTATTCGGTTCCATGAAGAGCAACGTGGGGATAAGATTATTGTTTTTGCTGATAATCTTTTTGCACTCACTGAATATGCAATGAAGCTCCATAAACCAATGATTTATGGTGCCACAAGGTCCATATATTTTTGACTTTAAATGAAAAAGACAACAAAAAAAAAAGCAACCTTTGAAAAAGTTAATATTTTGGTGTGCAGCCATATTGAAAGGACAAAGATACTGGAGGCTTTCAAAACCAGCAAGACTGTCAACACTGTATTCCTGTCAAAGGTAATCAATGAATGTTTATTTGTTTATTTCACGTGTTGTGTTTTAAATTCTTTTAAATGTTTGTGTTTTGTTTGTTTGTTGTAGGTGGGAGATAATTCAATAGATATTCCGGAAGCAAATGTAATAATTCAAATTTCATCACATGCTGGTTCTAGACGTCAAGAAGCCCAACGTCTTGGGCGTATTCTCAGGGCTAAGGTTTTTATTTGTTAAATTTATTAATTAGTTTCTTTTCTATAAATATTAATTTATTATAAATTATATTCCGTGGATGTGGAGTGTAGGGTCGTCTGCAGGATAGAATGGCAGGTGGAAAAGAGGAATATAATGCCTTCTTCTACTCCCTAGTATCTACAGATACACAGGTAGGTGATTAATAATATATCATATTATTGAAAAACATATTATGCTAATTTGACAAACACATGCATGGATGATGTAGGAAATGTACTACTCAACTAAGAGACAGCAGTTTTTGATCGATCAAGGTTATAGTTTTAAGGTAATTCATTAGTTAGTGTTTAATTAAAAAAAAGAAAAAGAAAAAGAAAAAGAAAAGGGAGAGACATTAATATATATATATATTTTGTGGTTTTGATGTGAACAGGTGATAACAAGTCTGCCTCCACCAGACACTGGGGCAGAGTTGAGCTATCATCGTCTGGAAGACCAACTTTCTCTTCTTTCAAATGTGTGTTGGCTTCTTATCTTTTGTTATTTATACTGAAATTCTGTTGTTGTTAAATACATCTGATATGATAAGATATATGCATATTATAGGTGTTAAATGCTGGGGATGATAAGTTGGGGTTGGAAATACTTGAAGATGATACAGATGACATTGCACTACAGAAGGCTCGTGCACGCCGTATGATGGGGTCCATGAGTGCCATGTCAGGAGCTAAAGGAATGCTCTATCACGAGTTCAGGTTGGTTTGGTGGCCTTTTATTTTATTATTTTTTTTTGTTTGTTTGTGTGATATATAATAACTGGTGGGGTTTGCAGGAGTGGACAAAAGGGAGGTTTTGGAAAGAGCAAGCCTAAGGATCCAGCAAAGAGACATACACTATTTAAGAAACGTTTTGTATAACTCTGCAGGCAGGCTTGTTTTGACTTTTGGGTGCAAAAAGCCCTACCAAATGATATTTGCCATGGTGAGATAAATTGTAATCCCCCAAACCAAACAAAAAACTTGTTCTTTTTCTGTAAAGAAATATGAACGCATGGAAAGAACTTTACACACATTATATTTATTATATATTGGTTTTGTTTGTGGTGGCAATGGCATATTGGCATGGTTCACTGCCAATCCATTTGAGTACTTACTGTATTTTATAAAACTCTACAAAGATTTTGTGTTGTATGGACTACTTAATTGGTTTCAAGTTAAAGCCAAGTCTAAAAGATGGTAGGAAGTTACTATTTTAACCCAACTTACCTTGTGATCGATCTAGTAGACTGACTAGTACTGAATGAAATCACAAAGGTTACTATGAAACAAAGTAACACTAAGCTGTATAATTTTGTCACGACATCATTGGCAACTTGATATGTATTTAAGAAAATCCGAGCTTAGGCATGGCAGGAGCTTTAGAAATTTTACTGCATTGTATAATTAGCATTGTAAGCTCTTGTCAAGTGCATGTGCAACTCAACATGAGTTTTTAAAACGCTTATACGGTATAGAAGCCACTTTAACTACCAATTCATCTATTTCTATTTGCTTAAGTTAATTCTTAACCGATTCCAGACTGAACTTTTCAGGTCTCGAGTGTTATTCTGATTATCAACAAGCTCAAAATTTGGCCTATAAATATTGCATATTGACTAGCTGGATCAAAAATTCCCAAAAAAAAAGATGTGTTGAAAGTGTATGAAAACCGCCTTAAACAATAACAATACTATTCTTCAGCCACTCTTTCATGTTGAAGAATTTTCAGCCTACTGATGATACAACATCTAGTTCAAAAGAAATTGACTAGAAACAATCATACAAACAAGGGAAAAAAAAGAAAAAAATCCAACCCACCAATAGCTTAGGATCCCTGTGTCTTGTGTTCAACGGTGTCCTTGTTATCTCTCCAAACAGCCAACACCTCATCAGTTCTAAACCTCTGAGTAAAAGTGGATTCCTCAAGCGGAGTCGTACTTCCATGAGCAAAAGCAAGAAGACCCGTATAAGCAATCATAGCCCCATTATCAACACAATACCTATCATCAGTTGCAAACAAGTTCCCCCCTCTTTCACCACACATCACTCGCATCATCTCCTGCAACCTTTCATTACACCCAACACCTCCAACAATCAAAACATCTTTCTTGTCACAGTGTGCCATTGCCCTTTCTGTAATCTCCACAAGCATCGCAAATAACGTCTCCTACAACATTTCCATCATGTCAAAAAAACCACACATCTGTCTGTCCCCATTAAGTCAAAAACAAATACCTGCAACGAATAGCATAAATCTGCTGGGGTACAATCATTGTTTTTAAGCTTTTCTTCCGCTGTGGCTTCAATGTAGCTCAATATTCCACTAAAAGACACATCCATTCCTTTCACAACATAAGGAAGGTCTATGAACTTTTCTCCCTTCTTTGCAAGCTGAATCAATAACAATAAGTGGACCCAATCATTGTAAAGTCAAAGTTAATTGATTTTAATAAGCATATTCATGATAATACCTGCTCAATGTTGTACCCTGGACTTGGATCATTCGATAGCATTAAAACCCTAGCAAACCTGTCCAAGCAGTTACCTATAGCTATATCGATTGTCTCCCCAAATATTCTGTATCTTCCTTCACTATATGCAATCACCTATTTATAAGCAAAAAAGTCAAAATCAGTTTTGATAATCATATGGGTCAAATACTCATGGAGTTACCTGTGTGTTTCCACCACTAACATAGAGGACAACTGGATCATCAGCTCCAGTGACAATTCTTCCCATCTCAATATGAGCAACACAGTGATTGACACCTACAATTGGGATCTTCCATAGCTGAGAAAGAACGCGTACAACAATGGCGGAAACCTGCAAGGGTGCACCCATTCCTGGACCTTTTGTGTAACAAAGACAGTCGATGTCCTTTAATGTAATTTGAGCTGTTTCAAGGGCTTCTTTGATTAGGGGAAGGATATGTTGAAAATGGTGTTGGGCAGTTTCACGAGGGAGGAATCCTTGACCTGGTGGGGTGATGTAGGTGTGTCTTGGGTTTGATAAGATTGTGCCATCTAGAGTCACTACACCAACACCAATCTTGTTGGCTGATCCTTCAAATCCCAATGCTATCATTCTTTTCATCTCTGAAAAACACTGATCAATTCACAATTATGATTTGAACCAACAGTCTTATCTGTCAATTATGAAGAACAGGAAAGAACCAAAAACAGAACAATGAAGTTTGGTGATGTAAATTGAGTGATATTTGATAGGTACAAACATATGTTACTCTAATTGCTAGTTGGGGAATTTTATCAAACAGTTGGTGTTCATCAAAAAATATGATCATTATCAGATTATCTCAAGTCTAAACATCACTTCATCTTCCAAACCAGCCAAGGTTCATCAGAAGCATAAGGAGCAAATATTTATCAACATAAAAGAGGGGCGACAGAAAATGTGAAAATTACTAGGTTAGGTCAGACTATAGTTTTAATGGCTAATAGCCGTAAATAGCCACAAGCTACCTATATGCTAATGAAATATTTAGGGATATGCATAAAAAATAAAAGATATTTCAACTATTATAGGAATTATAATCAAGAAAATAATCAAACAAAACATAATACCGGCTAAATAGAGACTTCACAGTTCATAAGAAAGTAACAGGAAGGAACTTAGGAAGTATAATGATTAAAAAAAAAAAAAAAAAAACCAGAACTCAAGAAGTATAAATGTATAATAGACATTGATCAGAACAGGAAGTATAAACATCAAAAGAAACTGCCAACAGGAAGGTCAAATTCATGCCAAGTTGCCAACACTAACAGGGAGGCAATATACAGTATAATAGACATTAGATACATGCCAATCGGACCTGAAAGAAAGTGAAAAGACAGCAAAAAGAAAAAAAAAAACTATTAGGAATAAACTTCCAATCGGACCTGAGGTGGATGCGTGGTTGCTGGAAGTGAAGCTCTGAATGCCGGAGATGTCGCCGGAGATAACGCCGTGGACGCCGGTGGGTTGACCGGAGGTGGAGGCGTGGAGCAGAAGAAGGGCTTGGAGGTCGCAGGTGTTGAGGCGGGAGGTGGAAGCGTACTGATTTCTTATAACGTTAGCCCTAATTCTTTTATTCCCCTTTTTTTCCTTTAAAAAAATATAGATAAATTAATAATACTGTCGCTATTTGGGTCGTTTTCTGTCACTAACACTAAATAACACCATAGTATTAATCTGTTATTATTCCGTTGCTAATACTAATATATGTAAAAAATTTATCTCCCCTCCCTCCGTTGCTAATACTAATATATGTAAAAGAATTATCTCCCCTCTCCCCCCCCCCCAAAAACACCAAAGACCTTAGGTAGTTGCTTATCATGCATGCCTGTAGATGATAACTACACACTTTGAATTTTCAATGTTAGGAGCACTATTTGTTGGGGTGTAAAAACTTGATCAAAGGTGTTTGAGCATCGGAGGCATATGGAGCATGAGGAATCTTAATAGAGCATTTAGAGGCATATGGACCATCAAGAATCCTAATTGAGCACTTGGAGGAACATGGAGCATTAGGAATTCTATAAAAGAACAATGGTGAGGGTGAGAGAAGTGGTGAGGTGTTTGTTCATTGGTGACAAAGCGAGGAATGAGAGGTGTGTTTTCATAGGTGGCCGACAACGTTGGAAGAGGTGGCGACATCTAGTGATGAAGATGACTTTTTTTAGTGGTGGAGAACGATGGCGAGGGTGGGAGAAGTGGTGAGGTGTTCTGTCGTTGCTGACAGAGCAAAAGGGGAGAGAGAGATGTGCGTTTTCATCTGTGGCCAACAACTGTGGGGGGAGGTGGTTGCAACGATGAATTTTTACGATGGTTGAGGATGAAAATGGGTTTCTTGAGAGGGAGAGAGAAAAGAGTGAAAGAGAGAGAGGAGTGAGAATTTTTAATCTTAATTAATAAAAACATTAACATAAATAAAAAAAATAAATATCAAGGGTATAATTATCTTTTTAAGTACATAGGGATTAAAATTAGTAAAAAATCCAAAATTAAATTACTGATACGTCACTAAACTTTTTTATTGGACAAAATCCACACAAGTCACCATTGGATGGATTTTCAACAAAATAGAATTATAAGGAATTATATGTGTTATTTCAATGTGACATTTAATATGATATAATTTGTTCATTTATGTCTAATGGATGTTGGCATGACATCATCTATGATATCTAGTATAATGTAACTACCAAATTGAATTTATTCAAAAAAAAAAAAAAAAAAAAAAGACATGTCGAGTACAAATTAAAGATAAAAGCAAAATGCATACTATTATTTTGTATTTTATGACCCTGCAAATAAGTAAATATAGAAATTAAAACTAAACAAATGAATGATTTATAAAATATAATTATACAAATTTGGTTTATAAAATATAACTTTACAAATTATTATTTTACCAATTACATTAATTTGGTGAAAAGTAAGGCTTACAATGTTCATCGTTATCCTCTTAATATCGATTTTTATAATATCTTTGAGCATATATAATTTGATTTGGAGGGTACCGTGCTTAAACTTACAATTCTAGAAGGACTAAACTAAAAGATGTAAATAAGAAGCGGGTGTCTTTTGCAAAATTCGAAGTGCAGGATCTTAAATTTCATTCTCTCGTTTGCTAGATCAAAAGTTCCGATTAACCGTTTTCCTGAATCAATCGTAAAGCTGAAATCAGGAGAGCTTAGGGCTTTTTCCCCATTCTATTCAGATTTATTTTATTTTGTTCCTTACTACATCGACTGTGAAAAAGTCGCCAATTGGATTTGGTATCTCATCGTTGCATTTGTAACTCGATCGGCTTTGAAAGGAATCGACAATGCCGTCCGGTGAAGAGCAGGTGCATTTGATGAAGCAGCGTCAGAGCTTCCGGAACCTATGGCACACAGATCTCATGAGCACCATGGCTGCCGATACTCCGTGTAATTTAGTCTATTTGACCTTCAATTTCCTTATAATTTCATCATATCTGCTTAATTTTGTAAATTCGTTCTAATTCGTCTGACCTTTGTGTGTGTTTTGTGTTGTTCTAGATTGCTGCTTTGCTTTGTTCTGGTAAGATTCTTGCTCCGATCTTTGTTATTTAGATCTTTGATCTATTTTATTCTATTATCATTTTGCCAAATGTGATTGTTCTGAAAATTATAGTCCGTGTGGTTAATTTGTAAATGCAATTCCGTGGAATACAAGAAGATACAAAAAGAGAGATTCTGTCTGATGATTAAGAAGGAAGACGAATCTCTCTTGTGTATGAAAAACGTTACGGAAAAGAAAACTAACCTAACGTCCATACACTCTGTTCCTACCAAATATAACTGATATTCAAACTAATAGTTACAGTTTAGTCCCTATACTATCTTAGTATGTCAAATCTTTTGAAAAGATTATCCTCCAATCCTTCCTGTACTTGATATAACACAACACTAGGACACGAAAATCGATTCATAAGTTCATAATGAGACCTCAATTAGTGTTATATCGTAACATAAGTACATAACATCTATGATCCATGTATAAAATACACATACGCTTCACAGAGGGCTAGATATTAGATACCTTATTTATTTTTTAGAGCTTTCATAAGTTGTTTTCATCCCATAAAACTAACCTCTCTAGAAATATATCCTCTAGTTTAGACTTTAGATTGTATTAATTGACAGTAACATTGTTTTGCATATACATCTTCTCAGAGGTCTCAGTAAGTTCACAAGATGGGTTTTGGTGTCACTTGATGCAGTTATCCTGCTTAATTTGTTTTTACAGCTTTTTAAAGTTTGTTAACTATTGAAATTATTATATGCTGATAGGGGTTTATGACTGAGCTTGTTGTTGAATTCTAGTCTACTTCCCTCTATGAATCTTTTCTATAAATCTTTTGTTAAGGATACGTTAATTTCCCTTCTTATAATTTCATGTATTATATAATAAAACACTGAAAATGACAGCGGACCATGTGCATCATACTTGCTTCGTAAGCGAGCTCTCTATGGTGACATGTCAAGGTAAATAAATACTTAATTTCTCCATCACCCATGCAACCTCAAAACTAAATATATTTAATATACATATATAATTATTTCCTGCATTTGCATGTTCCAGATATCGATGCTGTGGTGGATATATGCCCTGCAGTGGTAAGTGTGGAGAACGTAAATGTCCAGAATTTTGCCTTTGCGCAGAGGTATTCATCATATTCTTTTTCTTAAAATCCTACTCATGGATTATATAATTACAAATACACAATAAAAACACTTGTAGTTTTAACATGTTTTGTTCTTGTAAATTATCTTGATCAGGTCTTCTTCTGCTTTGGGAACTCGGTAGCATCCACTCGCTTTATGCTGCAAGACGAGTTTCACATTCAAACAACCAAATGCGATAACTGTATCATTGTACGTATACTAATTAATCTCTTTAATTAATATCTCCAAACCTTTTTATGATCTGTTTATATAATAATAACCCTCCCTAATTATTAATTCGCTTTTATCTCGCTTCATTAATTAGGGTTGCATGGTTTGCCTCCAACAAATTGCTTGTATATTTTCCATCATCGCTTGCCTTCTTGGAAGCGAGGAACTCAGTGACGCGTCTCAGTTGCTCAATTGCTTAGCCGATCTCGTTTTTTGCACGTACGTAATTAATTTCTTCCCTCCTCTTTAATTTCAACTATTCCAATTTTTTTTCCTCTATAAACTCTAAATGGTATCTTGCTTTTGTAGGGTTTGCACATGCATGCAGGTAATATTCTATCTTTAATTATTAATCTATGGTTTGAAAGGAAGAAATTGATATATAAATTATTTATTTTACAGACACAACACAAGGTTGAATTAGACAAACGAGATGGGACATTTGGGATCCGTCCAATGGATGTTCCTCCGATCCAGGAAATGTCAAGGATCGATCAGCCATATCCGCCCCATGTCCACCAGTACGGACCACCGTCCTATGGTTACCCTCACCAACATCAACACCATCAACCTGGCCATGGCTACCCACATATGTATCCTCCGCCATCTGGCTACCCACCTGCCGGTTATCCACCACCACAAGGCTACCCTCCTTATCCACCTCCACAAGGCTACCCACCTTATGCTTCTCCACCTCCACCTCATCATCAAGGCAACCAACCACAGCCCCCAAATCCACCTACCAACCAACCTCCAGGACCAGGTCAATATAAGTAAATCATTCAGTGCATGCCTTCACCTTTTGAAACGTACCGTTTTTGACTTGATAAGATCATTCTTGAATCTTGATGAGACTAAATTCTTTCATTTAATTTCTATATATCGATAGTAAACTTTGGTTTACTTCAAATTTCTCAACATAGATTCATTACGGCTCTACATTTTGTTACATTGTATTTTGAATAATTTTCATTTTGAGATGTACGTACTACGTTCATGTTCTTTACTATGGCATAACTTTCAAAAGACACTGTTTATTGTGATTGTTGTCAAATATGTCTGTGCATTTAATACTGATTTAAGTGATTTCCATGTCAAACAAACTAATAGAGGGTTTAGGTTGAAATCCATAGTCCGTGATTGAGGGTATAACACTGTACAACTGTACAACAAGAGTTTATACAGGACCTTCATGGACAAAAAAAAAAAAAAAAAAAAAAAAAGTTCTAGTGCACATCAAATGTTGGTTAGTTTATTATAGCTTTATCACATTTGGCCATTAAATTGTTATAGTCATTAACCATTTTACTAATTTTATTTATTTATTTTGAGGAGAGCATGCCACTTAATTGCCTTCTGATTCATTTGACCATTAAACGGTACTTAGCAAAACGAGAGTGTTTATATCACGTTTGATCATTAAAATGTTGCTAAATTACCTTTTTGACCATTAGAGTTTTTGAAAGAACAAACAAGTCACTTCATATTTTGATTTCACAACCATTCTTATATATTTTTTCAAAATTAAACTATTATTATTGTAGAAAGTTCTCAATGCATTATGCTTCCATGTTAAAAATCATTATATTATTTTTATGTCTATTAAAACTGTTATATTTTTTAATTTTAGTTAAATTAATCTTTTGCAACTAAATAACCCAAAAGCCAAGTTGCATAGTGTACATGTGTTGATTTAAATTATAAAAATTATGTGTAATAACAATTATGATTCAACAAATTAACTGTATTTCTCAAAGAAAATGATTTTTTTTTTTTTTGAATAACAACTAATTAATGTTTTTGAAAATTTTTAATGTTATGAAAATTTTCAACTCCCAAACAGGCATTTTGTGAAACATTAAAAGTTAACAAAAATCTGTTTATCTCTTATAAAAAGGGAAAATGTCAGCACATAAAACTTTTTTCATTTGGTTCATTTGGTCCTTAAAGTTTTTTTTTGTTACATTAGACTAGTAAACTCGTAATTGACCTATTAATTACACCATTATCTAAAAAATTAGAAGGTTCATCGGTTACAATGCTTATGTGGCACGCTGATGTGTCCAATAAGCTTACGTGGGATGCTTATGTGTCGAAGAAATCCACTCGTCGATATAGACCTGTTAATTGAAACCCTATTTCGGAACTCCATCAAAGTGTTAGTTACCCTTCTCTGAAAAGTCAAAGACTTCACCCCGACTATTTCCGTCCCGAAGAACAATGTCTTCGAGCTCATGCACCTCAAGGAATCAGCTACAAGTGACTCATGTTCCGTCGCGAGAAGGGGTAAAGCTTTGTGATTGTGGCGTTCCAGCTAAAGAACGAACATGTTGGAAGATAACAAACCCTGGGAGGCAATTGTCAAAACAATATGGTAGGTCCCGATACTCCTGATCTTGATAACTTACTATTTTAGGGTTTGATGTGTTGTTTCTTCCTGTAAAGACGATCATGGTGGATTTGTATTTTGTTTGCTTAAAAAAAACCCTAATTTTATTTGCTTCTTGATGATGATTTGTGATTGTGAATCAAACCCTAATTTTATTGGCTTTTTATAGACTAGGTTGAAGAAATGTAGCTTCTCTGAATGGAAAGATGAAGAACACGCAAAAGAGTACTACAAAAACCTGCTATATTCTCTGAAGCAGAAAGTGGATGCTAAAGAGGATATGTCTGAGATGAACAATTTGAGGAGAAGGATTGCCGAAGTGGAGTTTCTGTTGTCACGGGAGCAATATAAGGTGACAAAGAGCGAGAAAGAAGTTTATGATGCAAGGAAGGCAATAGGCAGGCACAGGATGATAATTGTCTTGCTGTTTGCTTGCTTGGTCATTTGTGTTTTGATGTTAGGGGTGATTGTACTTAGTTAGGTTGGTTAGTGTAAGGTTTTGTTTTTTGGGATACCTTGTATTTTTTGTAAAGGCAGACTAGAAAGTCAATAATGATGGGCATTATGTATGTATTGAAGCTGCTTTTAGTTACAAGTTGGGGCTATCAACCTTGATGTGTTGATGTTGTAAGGTGTTAAGTCCCTAATGAAAGGGCATATGATAACTAACGTAAAAAATATTCAAAATCCCAATTATAGGGCATTTTGTATAATCAGATGTTGATGTTAATGAAACATATGCATGGCTTGTATTCCCAACAAATATATTTAATTAGATTGGTTGTTGTGCATGTTTTCATTTTGGGAACAAAAGAGAAAGTGGTCCATGTGGAAGTACACTATGTGTATGAGGACCATTTTGTAGTTATATGTCAGTGGGTGTTTTAATAATGGAAAATGGGACCTTTGAACCCATTATAGAACCATATCCGGGACCATATAAAACATTTACATGCATACACATCATTCCAAAATATTCCGTGCAGAAATATTCAAAGCCAAATGTCATGATTTTACTTAAAAAGACAACATACTTTATAAATGAGTAAAATATCATGTGAATAGTTTCAGTAAAAAGGCAACATATATCTATTACTGACCCAAATATCCTTTTATGTCATGACCAAAATACTCTTTTTTGTCATCCATACATAAATGACGAAAATACCCTTTTATGTCAAGAGTGACTAAAATACCATTTTCTCTCAAGACCAAAATACCCTTTTCTATCATCAATACATAAATGACAAAAATACCCTTTTATGTTAAGAGTGACCAAAATATCCATAAAATATTGTGTTGGGTCCTAACCTTAATATTTCATATTGGGTGTTATATTAAGGATTTTAAATCAACTAACTTGATTATCTCCCATTATAGATGTCTGGTTTGACAACTATGATCTTCCCAAATCTCTTGGAACAAGCTTTCTTCTTAAAGACGATGTCCCTCAACATCATGCTTCTCTTCCTTCACCTCCTCTATTTATTCTCCTTAACCCACAAGTTTAAGGTCACTCAAGCCCTATTGGCAAGCATAGTCTATGTGTGTTCACATCTTGGAGATAAAGTCACATATTGACAAGCCGGGAGAGTTGGGTGTCAAAGTCTTGTGAAAGTTGGATGTTCAATCACTTTCTTGGTAACATAGTGAGTCCCTTTGGGACTACTATGAGATAGACTATGACATGAGCCTTAGTGATCTTATCTATTTGCTTGGTGCGGCGGAATCAGCAATGATTTGGAACACTGGTAAAGCAAATTTTGTTAGAATATCAACTTTCTAAACCTTAAATGGACATTGACAATGGTAGCATTGGATATCTAGAAAAGGATTTCTCTTCCCAATGGAAAGGGATCGGTCATAGTCAACTCGGTTGACCAAATGGTAAAGAGAAAGGATAAGTCTGAGATAGTCTCATGTGCCATTACCAAAGGGTCCATATGTTTTATTGCCAAAGGGAGGGACACTGATTGCGAAGCTGCCATATTTACCTAAAAGATCATAAGATTGATCAAGTCAAGAAGTTTGACTCTACTTCAGTTAAAGTCCACTGTCTAACTCTATTAAGTTCCTATTTGGAGATTCTTATCACATAATGTGAATGGGTCACATGTTGATGTTATTATGAATCAAAGAAAAGATAGGAATCTTAAAGGAAGTATATTTTGATTCTGATTGCGAAGATGGGTTTCGATCGCATGGTTCGGTAATCAGAATTTTGAGTTGTTGCTTAATAGTTATGATATATTACTTAGGAATAGATAACAACAAGGTTTTCATATGGATTGTAAGGATAAGTTTTTCCGCAAAGTTTTAAAATAAAAAAAGGGGTTTTTAATTTTATTTATTTTAAAAATATCCTTACAATGGCGTTTGTGAAAAATTGTTGCTTATATGTTTACAGTAATAGCAATATTGGAAAATGGATTTGATTCTTTCGTTTGTGGTAATGTCAAAATTTACCAAATGAGGAAAGGTTCTCATCACCCAAGTTTCAATTGGACCGAAACTTGGAATCATACAAGCTGTATTGTATGATGGATGAGAATTTTCATCTTTGGAAAATTAAGACTAATTCCTTATGTGATCAAGGATAGGACTAAAGGGATCGGGTACACTAGGTGTGTGCTGGTCAAGGTCCACCACAAAGATCGATTCGTCATGATTTACTAAATATTAGTAAATATGGTTATACTTACAAGTTTAAGTATAATTCTGAAGCATTAAAAAGTTTTTAATGTGTGGCAGAACGAATGGAAAAAAATCAAATTAGGCAGAATGATAAAAGTTTCTCAAATCTGAAAAGATGGGAGAGTACTATAGTATCGTGTTTTATGATCATCTTAATGATTATAAAACAATATCACAAATTCATACTCTAAGGACATCTTAGTGCATTATTATGACTAAGAAGAGGGGTCATGAATTATTGGAATGGTTAAAATCAAGAAGATGAATCATACTTCGTTCCAAAACAACTCTTAGAGTCGTACTCCAAGATTGTAACATTGAGTGACATAAAGTAAGGTTTAAAACACTTATCAAATGTAGTGTAAATTTTTTTCTACTCTTGTACATTTGAAATTGGTAAGTTGTGATGTCTTGGATAAGATAAAGACCAACTAAGACCAATTGTGTGAAGTGTTTATCTTGATAAGAATCCGCACTACCCCTTGAATATTTGTTTTGTCAGGGAATGGTTCTTGACTAGGGAAACTTATATGTCAAGAGGATAGTAGGAGCCTTAAAGATCCTGAAAGAGTTTCAAGATTTAATCAAGAGTAAAACCTGTGTTTTATCACTAGCACATGACTTGAGGTTTGTAACCTATCATGTTGACATAATTCTTGTGCCAATTAAATTGACTATGCATATGTTTTCTGTTAGTTCTAAACTGCGTGCATAACAGCTTGGAAGCATTGGTGGGCCTTGTGCTACTAAGTGACAAGAAATTAAGATTCAAAAGGTTCAATCCATGTGAGGATGATTTTGTCACTAACCTTGTCTTGTGATTATGGTTTTGACAAATTCACATGGATAGGAACTCATACACCATAAAATCTAAGTGTCATAAGGTTTCTCTCCGATTCATGAGAATGATGGTGAGGAAACGCTTTCACTAAGTAGATTTAAGTAGATAGCAATTGTGTTATTTGCATTTTCAAAAGTCGTTAGTGGTTAACCGGCACACTAACATGGACTTGTGATAAATGGCAAAGGTCTAAACAATTGAGACTATGATTACGACATCCCTTTTCATAGTTCTTGAAATTGCTTAGACATACATTTGAGCTATCTACGGAAAGGTGTATGAATCTAAATTTTAGAAGTCCAACCGATTTCTGAATACATGTCAAAGCTAGTGGGAGCATAAGTGTTATGCTAATAATCATCATGTTAGTGGGAGCATGATAATTATGATTATTATTATTGCAAGCTAGCAATGTTAATTATAGAAAAACAAAAGTTTCAATTCGTGAAGTTGTAGGGGTTGAAAAAAAATTGTTTTGCTATAATTAAAGGGGAGGAAAGTATACTTCAATTCAATTCTAAAAGATTAGATTGAGATTTTAATCATCTTTAGTCAAGGATATATATATATATATATATATATATATATATATATATATATGTATGTATTTTATGTTGGAATGGTTCAACTTAAAGAAATTCTATATATATGTTGCGTTATCAAAATTCGATTATGACTACGATATCCCTCTTCATAGTTAAATTTTGAGAACATGGCAAATAAAATTTTTTGTAGCAAAAGACTGTTCTAGTATCATGTCTTTATGTGAAACATCATGAATCGTGTCCCATATGCTTCGGATATAGGATGGATTGCATGTGCTATAATATTCATCCTTTCTAAATTTTCCAAATACTTAGGGCATTCAGAAGGAAAAAGTCTAGAACGAGATATGACTAAAGTGATTAAGAAATTATCGAGGACAGTCTAAGATTCGCCAAAGATTGGTTGCTCAGGACAGTTGGAAGTATATTCCGAAAAGAGGTAACTCTTGTTCGGAAGTGATAGTCAAAATGGGACTATGGAAATGTCTCCATAGGTGGAAGTTGTTCAATCTGTGTAAGATTAGAAAACCTTAGTGTAAGAAGGATGTTCAAAGCAATGTACTTTGGATATAAGACTTTGTTTCCATAGAGTTGATCTCCTTTGGAATACTCTGTAATGACTGTTGACAAGTTTTGTGACTTTGCGCATAATCATTACAAGAGGAACATTGCATAAAAGTTTAAAATCTAATAGATTTTTGGTAAATGGTAGGAATTAGGAATTCTTACATTTACAATAAGGATTTGGAATTGTGAAATGAGCATCATTGGAATCATGTTCAATTGATCTATTTCAAAAAAGTAAAGATCATAGACAAACATAGTGTGCATACATAGAGTATAGCATAACTATTGTTTAGAAAACAAAGTGTGCATGCTAGGAGCATGGGACAACTGTGGTTTTATTCAAGTATTAAGTTGATTATTTGAAACATTATATAATGAGTAATGTGTAATCAATATGGTGATAAATAAAAGGTGGTTCTATTTATATTCAAAAGGGTTTTGAGACCATATTGGATTCGATTATTATTGTGTTTCACTTTACATGTTTTGACTGCCAAAATAACTAGGTTATTCCTTCCGAATGACTAAGTTATTTAAACACTCTATAGTCGTTCATATGTTGGAAGTAGGTATGAATTAAGACTGTCATGAATCGAGGTTGTAAATGGCTAAATGTGTTTAGACATAGCAATGGTTGGTACAACCTTCATGAGTGCTCATAAGTTATGAGTATTGGAATAAACCCACACTCACTTGTATCACTTCATGAAATTTATCTCTAGTGATCGTGAGACGATAATATCATATAAGTCTTCAAACCTAGAGATATGAGTTGTTACCTATGAGTTGGTTGTGCATTGATTGCACGTAAACGCATCAGTAACTTGATGTTATAAACCATGCATTTGTGTACAATTCAACAAGTAGTAGAACAAGCATATGAGTCGAAGTTTATCTGTTCCTTCTATAAATAGAAGCGATATCTGGGCCCCTCGATGATTTTGTGTTGAGTTAAGTTCTTTGTCAAACAAATCGGAAATCGAGAAACAACTGCCAGACAATAAGTAAGACATTGTTCCATGTATTTGTCCGGCTGATATCATGAGAACAGAGGATTATATGATCACTTATCTAAAATGGCGCTTCATAGTTCAACAGAGTTTTCGAGAGCTACGATTGCTGGTTGGTTCCTGAAGTAATATATGCAAATACAGTTATTAGACTTATCCAAGTGGGAGACTGTTGGATAAGGTGTCTAAGTCCATAACTTATTTGGTATATACTTGACCCGACCCGACATGGTCCATTTGGGTTGCACTTCACCTGAACAATTTATATGGATAATCTTATGAGAATAGTATGTTTATGATTTATTAATATATTATAAGTTATAATATATTAATATGAATTCATGTTATTTAATTAGTTTTAGTCTTAAATTAATTATGAATTAATTTAGTGATTAAAAGGAAGACTAATTAAACATGGGCTATTGCATTTTATATAATGTGGGCTTAAACTCATTAGGAATGGGCTAAGCATGCATGGGGGTCCATGGATGATCCATGAAGCTTATAACCCATGGATCATCGGAAAGGAAAAGACATGGGTTATTAGGGTTTACCCTAATCCTCCACACTATATAAAGATGCACATATTGCAAGAAATGGCAACTAGTTGTGTGAGACTTTGTGGTGGCCGATTTCTACATAGCATATTATTCTCTCAAGGTTTTTCCAAGTTTGTGGTGATTTGTGATTCCACTTGAGGCATTCACATTATTGGTGCTAGGCTCTCAAACTCCAAGCGATCAATCACTATCAAAAGGTATGTTATTCTTCTAGTATTTTATGATTCTAGTTCTTCACGCTATGCTAGTTAGGATGTAAACCTTGGAAATTATTATTTGCATGTATTTTTAGAGAAAACATAGATCCAAGGTTATTAAGGTTTCATGCACACCTTATGAGTGTTAGAATGCTCAAAACCCAACAATACTAACTTAGATACCAAACTTGGCCATTACCTTTACCCTAATGTAGCACCTTGTTCCTGATATGTATTTTAATCTAAGTATTTTTGCATTTTTAGTTGGAAATCGGCGAATTGCAGGCCCAACTCGCCGAGTAGAGGCGAGATATCGAGCACGTTTGAGTTGGCGACTCGACGAGTCCATATCATGGACTCGGCGAGTCCGCCGGTCTGGATGAAACCCTAACTTCAAGGGTTTGCACCTTATTTAAACCCCCTTATGCGCCCCAAGCTCGCCCCCTTCACTCTCAGAGCACCCTTTAACAAACCCTAACCCTCCCCTTTGTGATTTGAGTGTTTGTGTGCTTTTCCTTGAAGTTTGAAGAAGAGAAGGAAGGAAGGACCAAGGAGAAGGAGAAGAGCAAGGATCTATAACTCAATCCAAAGTCCATTGAGGTATATTTCAAATCTTTTCTGTTTCCGTGATGATTTTCTTTTAGTAAACCCCAATTAAGTCATCTTTATCCATTTCCTAGCTTGATTGTAATATAGAGATCATATTGTGTGGAATGACCTTTAAATCTAGCTAGGTTTGAGCTTCAAGAGCCCAGATCTACTGCCTTTATGGAGCCATATTGCATGAAAGCCCTAGATCTACTCTTTTAGTCTGTTTTGAGCCTTAAATTCATCATTGGTGTTTATCTACATGTAAAGTTGGAAACTTTACGTGTTAATCGATCCCTAAAAACCCAGATCTATGATTGGAATGCATTGGGTTAACGCATAATCGAGTATATAGTGATTGCATGCATGCGACTCGGTGAGTCGTTCTTCGGACTCGGCGAGTCGAGTCGTGAGTCCCTGATTTTTCCCCTTTTGAGTTATGTCAAGTGGGATCAGTGAGCTATAAGCGGACTCAGTGAGTCGGAAGCCAGACTCAGTAATGGAGGGACTCGGCGAGTCAATGCCCTGACTCGACGAGTCCAAGGCAATCTTCTTGCCTCAAGAACAGACTCGACGAGTTGTTCATACAACTCGGCGAGTCACAGACCAGAGTGTTCATCGGATGAAGATGAACTCGACGAGTTATTCATACAACTTGGTGAGTCGAATGAAGGACTATTGGATATCTGTATGGAAGGAGAACTCATCGAGTCAATGCCTAACTCGACGAGTTAGCGAGCGAATTCGGTGAGTCAGGTCAACTAGAAGTTGACTTTGACTTTGACTTTTGACTTGGTTAGGGGTAAAATGGTCAGTTTACCCTAAGGACAGTTAACAATGGTTGATTGAGTGTTTCGTGGGAATTGCAGCCGGAGGATTTTCGGAACAGCAGCAGCAGACAGACAGTTCCCGTACAGATCAACAGCCACTTCGAGGTGAGTTACCTTCTAATAGCGGTGAGTCTACAGCCACAATGATGACCCACTAGTAGGAGTTGTGTGTTAGATGATTGTCTTTGTGATATCATCTAGTTTTGCTACTACCTGATATGTTATATGCTAGCTTGATGTGTTATAGTAGTAGCGTTCAGTTGTTAGGACCGAAGGGTAGTCAGACACCCCAGATACGTCTAACAGTATGTGATGTCATGATTATATGCTAACATGTTCTGAAATATGTGTTAGGGGTAGTAGGAGGGGAATAGTCCCCGAGTTCAGTTGTTAGGACCGAAGGGTAGTCAAACACCCCATATATGTCTGATAGTATGTTATGTTATGATATGTGATATTGGCAGTGGTAGGGGTGAAATAGTCCTCGAGGTTCGGTTGTTAGGACCGAAGGGTGGTCGGCACCCCAGAATGACCACACGGGTAGGTCGGCACACCGGAATGGCCGTACCGGGTAGGTCGGGCACCCCAGAAATGTCTGATAAGTATGGTATGTTATATGATTGTACTATATGTTCATGATTGTATGGTATGTGGTGTGTTGGGGGAACTCACTAAGCTTTGTGCTTACAGTTTTCAGTTTGGTTTCAGGTACCTCTTCTTCAAAGGGGAAGGAGCTGGCGCGGTAGCGATACATCATACACATACACTATTTTCCGCCTTATGAGATTGTTTTGGGATTTGTACTCTGATATTCAGTTGATTTCGTATTTTGGTTTTTCAAACATGATATATGATTGTGGAATATTTTGATCAGAAAATGTTTATTTACAAATGCTTTTCAAAGTATTGATTTTTAAAATGGAAATTTTTGGATGTAAAAATTGGGCTATTACACCTAAGGTTCCTTACACTTATTTTCTGACTTTGTACAATCTCTTTGGTATAGTGACTCCCAATTCATGCATATGTCACCAATGATCCAAACTTGAAGTTCCTAGCACAATTATGATCATCTTTTTAGTGACTTGATCTGGAAACTCTCTTCATCACTCATCCAAGAAGCCCATAATGTAAATGTGCAAGCACCCTTGCTACACCTCACTAAAAATTTTTTCCTATCATTTTTTCAAAACACAATTGATATCAATTAGCTACAACATAGTTTCACAACATTGATTTTACTTGCCCTGGACCCTTAAATTTCATCCCTAGAATTGATTTTTGTTTTTTTTTCCAGTGTAATAGCTCATTAAATATGGAATGAGTTTGAATGTTAAGTTCAATTTCTCTCCCATTATCATCATCTACAATGTTGTTATCCTCCTCATCATCAACACATAACTTACTCAAGAAAGGATCATTTGATGTCCTATTCATATGCACTACATCCTCATTAATTTCAAAGGCAACATTCCTAAGTTCATCTATGTTATCTTCATTTTCACCATCAATACAAGACTCATGTTCATTATCTTCATCATCAAGCCACCCATCAACACCAACCCTAATATGATCCATATAAACTGAAATTACACCATCTGTTCCATAAGCATCAAAAATAAAAGCAGAATATTCCACATCATCTGAAATGGGATTAAGCCCTTCCATCAGGGAAATGCCTGGTTCATAGTAGTAAATCTTTTTAAGGTAATACAAATTGTATTCAACCACAACCACAACCTTACTCTTCAAAATCAATTTTAGTATTAGCCATCGACACTGACTTCAACCACAACCTTACTCTTCGAAATCGAAATCCAAACACATATAATTCCAAAGCAATTTTAAGGTAATATAAAATTGTATTCAACTCTATCAATTGATTTTGATCCTCAACCCATTTGGAATCAACTCAATTTGTTATCAGAAGTAAAAGCACGAAATCACTCAAACTAATTTTGACTCCAAGAAGTCAACGACAAAGTGATTTCGTCAAAGCGTTTGATTCATCAACCATTCGATTCGAATCCAATATCATCTAAGATTTGATTTCGACTCAAATCAACGATCAACAAAAATTTCGATATTCAATTACAAACAACCACAATCGTTTTCAAATTAATCGAACCCAAGAAGTAATCAACAACATAATCAAAATCAATTCTTGATCTCAAGATGTTTTATGTTCAATTCCAAGGAAGGAATTTTCGTTTTCATCACTCAAAATCAACAACAGTGAGAATCAAGACTCAATTCAACTTACGATTCAACATTAACCCATACAATATTAATTTTTCAAAATCGAAATCGGCTTTATTCAAAATTAAGCCAACTTGAAAATGTTAATCAAACATGAGTGACTCAAATCAAACAACTGAGATGAAAGAAAAAAATACGGATCTACTACCGAACAAAGTATGAAGCTGAGAATGATTTAGAAATGAGAACTCATGAATCAATTTTGACGAAAGAACATAACGAAGTAGATACAAATTTCTTGATTTTGGGCTCACAATTTTTTTATTAAATGGATAGTAATCGATCATCTTTTTGGGCTCAAACGTTCAGACCAATGAATAGTAATCAGATTGAGATTTGGGCTAAATATTGAATACTTGAATCAAATGAATAGAAATTGATTATCAAATGATTTAAATCGGATTTTGATCTTAAAAAGAATTTTAACAATGGATTGATTATGAATAGTAAGGAGACTCAAGATTTTACTTTGTTTGAGCTAGATCAATGAATGAAATATATTGGATCATAACAAGTGGGTTTTTAAAAAAAAATGATCCAATGAGTCAAAAACGATCAAAAAATCAAGAGCACAACGCACGAATCAAAGAGATTTAGAGAAATCATAGAGAGACTCACCATGATTATTCCAATTGTGTTGAATGTAGCCAAACTGAGAACCATTTCTTTAAAAAATCGCTTTGATCTTCACAGACCTTCTCTGATACCAATTGATGTGAATTATGAGCATTGGTTTGGCATGCGGAATTAAAGAATACACAAAGGACACGATGATTTTAGTGTTTAAGAAATGAATTCGATTATGAAAGGTGTTTATAAAAAAGGATCTAGATCTAAATATACATCATTAACACAGACTAACACTCTCAATGTTACATCTCTCACGCACACCTCTACATGTGGAATGAACCCACCTTATATAGAGGTGTTTACATGTCTCTCTCTCTCATGTCATAAGGCTACTTTACCACATGCAAGTGGGTCTACAAAATTCAAACCATTTACAAAGTCATACATGGATAACTTTGTACCCAACAATATGAAAACCTAATAACTATGGGTTAGTTTATTAGTTTATGGATTTATAAAAGTTGGTGTGGAGATTGTGTTTGATTAACTTACCTAGCATGTTAAAGTGTTTCTCTTTGTTTCTTTAATTCAAGTTAAGTGTAGTTTAGTGACCGTTAAATTACATGAACTTGTTTACCTAATGATTTAGTGAGCATTTGTCACACCCCAAAATCGGAACGACGGAAACGTCCGGGGTGGAGGATGTCATGTTTAGTATCACAAGGCATGCATCATAGTAAGCAAAGTAATGAACAACCATTTCATTAGAAAGAAAGTGTTTACAATGTGTGTGTTCACAAAACATAGAATACATAATCAAATAACAAAACAAGACTTGAAGCTACTAAGCTCCATCTTCTGAATTCCCAGCGCGAGTACCTGTCTACTAGTTTTCTGAGAATACAAGTTATTTGAAAGAGTTTATCAGCAATTAAGCTGGTAAGTTCATAAGATTTTAGTGATGTAAGTAAGTTGTAGAAAGTTGTTGTAAAACGTAGTAAGTGGTAAGTTCTATTTAGAAAAGTTCGCTTGTTCCTCTAGAAAATCCTATATTTCCTACTTTAATAAAAGATAAGTAAAAATGACTCTACAATCCTTTCTATGGGTACTAAATGGGTACAAGTTATATAAGACTCAGAGTAAACAAACAATAGATTATGCGCATCTGCCCTAAAGCGGATAACACACATCCCATTGTTTGTTTGATCATCGTGGTATATAACCCTGGTGTATTCACTTGTTATTTATGGAGTTAATTGTAATAGTTCTTTTATATTTAATGAAAAGATTCGTTAAGAAAGCCCTTATTTCTTATAATAAAATGTGTGTTCTCTTATGTTATCGTGTATTGTATCTAGTATAAACCGACTCCCTAAACTATACCCTTTATAGTTTACTAGTGTTTTACTTGAACTATTATTGAAAAGACTCGCTTTACTACTAAGTTATGCTTGTACTTTATAAATGGAGTTTTGTTTAACTAAGAAGTAACATAACTTTAAAAGAGTTTTTGAAATGTTTTGATCACTCATATAAGACATAAGTAACCTTTGAAAGATGTTTTAACAAACAATTACACAATGATCAATTGCGTTCAACTTGTATTCCCCCCCTTAAAAGCATATAAAGTAGTATAAAAGATTGATTACGGGGTATGAACTCACCTGATGTGGGTGAATCAAACGAATACGCACGTAAGGATGAGAAGCTCCATGATTGAAGTCCCAAGACTTAACAGGTCCTAATTGACATATATTGACATAAATATAGGGTTTATAGGTAACCAAAGGCAAGGAAACACCTCATGGGACTAGGAAAAACTTGGAATGAAGGGTTGAATCACATGTGATCGGACTAAGAAGTCTGGAATGGCACTATCATGAGTTTACGACCATGGGTTCACGGCCAAGGGAGTTTACAGCCGTAAACTCATGGTCAAACATGCATAATAGGGTGTTTGAAGGTTAGGGAAGCTTGAGGGACCATTACTCTACACAAGGATGATAAAGACCATCATAAGGAAGGCTTTTGATGAGTTTACGGCCAAGCAAGGAGCTTATGGCCGTAAACTCATGGACATTATGAAATGAGTGTGGTTTAAGGTCCTATACTCATCAATGAATGGTTCTTGGTCACAAGCTTTGCATTTAGGAAGGTTTAAGGTGCATACAAGCTATAACATTGAGTTTGCGGCCAAGGGAGATCTTGGGCCGTAAACTCAAGATGTTCTTGGGAAAATGTATGTTTCAAGGGTGTGATTCAAGGCTTCCCAGTAGATACGAAGTATAATGAAGGAATACTTACGATATGGAGGCTTGAAAGGGTTAATTTTGGCCAAGAACACTAGTGTGTGTTCTTGGTGAAACTTGAAGATCTAAGAAAAGATGATTTCAATGGATGAAATCATGAGATGATACTAGATTAAGAGATGTATAAACAAATAAAGGAAGAACAATTACAACTTTTGAAGATCTAGGATGAAAATCGGGATGATACTTGAGAGAAAACTCAAGTGTTCTTGAGGTGGAAGTGAGAAATGAAAGAAAATTGAAGGGTTTGAGTCTCATAGGGGGAGTTTTCAGCTAGGGTTGAGTTTACGGCCGTAAACTCCATGTTTACGACCATAAACTCCACATGTTGGAGTTTAGGGCTTGAATCTTGTACTGTGGCTTTAGCAGATAAATCCTAACACTTATTCCTTAGGTGTACTAGACTCAGAACACTCAAACAGACTCTAAATTGTGCTAAATGATAGCAAGAGTGAGTCTGACACTGAGTTGATTTAACTGACTGAGCTTTCAAAGCAAAATTTTTTTAGGTTGTCACAATTAAATTGCTAGAGCTAGGATTGACCACATCTTAGTTAATTGATAAAAGTAACAATTTAACTGTGTTAGAGAACATATTTGTGACCATAATTGTGTTTAACAAATCTTACATAGCCCAATTATAATTAATAACTAATTTTGTGTTTGCTTGTGTAGGACCTTACAAAGTAGTACATGAACTGATGAAAATATTAGTAGATTTGACCAAATTTCTAATTGCATATAAATTGGTAACCAACTTTATTAATCCATAAATAAGAGCTAACCATAGGAAAAAGGTGGATTCGAAACTAAACGAAGGTTTTTTTAATATATTGATTACAACTGTTTTTGTGGAGTGTTTAAGTTTGTCTGATCTTGAAAAATCAAATAAAAACCCTTTTAATTATTATTTGATTTTAGATTAATTTAGAGTAATTATTTTATTTAATTAAATTCAATCCCTGTGTTTGACCCCAACTTACTTTACTATATTACAATCCGACTAGGTACACTGCTTAGGTACATTTTAGCTAGTTAAGTTCGTTAGGTTATAAATTTAAAACTGGATAGGTATATTTTTGCACACGTCAGGACACAACCAAGGAAAACCCTTGAAGCACTCAAGGAAAACCCTTGAACATATTGATGGTTTTCTCTTCGTCTTTTTTCGTAGATCTGAAACCATTACTGCTGCTTTTTTTTTTTGTCTATATCGTTCCAGTTCTAAGGTGGTTTACATTTTGAAAACTCTACATCCCAAACGTCTCTATAGATCTTCGTCTTTCCATTCTCATTAACTTTTCTGAAGCCGTCGAACGACCACTATAATAGATCTGAACAGATCGTGAAATATATGTCGTCCTTCATCTCCATCGTAAAAAAATTGAAAAGAACTCTTTCATTATCTGACATCGCCGAAGAAGGAAACTAGAGTAGAGAAGGACAAACTTGAGTCACAGTTCGTCGGAAACTCGAGCCATAGTTTGTCGGTGATGATGCAAGGGGCATCCAGATCTATAAACGTGTGCA